CCACCATGGGTGGCTGGTCCAGTTCTTAACCCATTGCATTCTACAAACCAATTTCTACTGAGTACCTCCCACTACGAAACACAGGGAACAAATACTACAGTAATAATCATTGTTTCCAAGTTGCTCACAGTCTGGGAAAAGTCTTAGAGGAGCACCATATTTCCTGTACAAAATTAATGCAGTTCTCAGAACAGTTTGAAATGTTAACCTGTAGTCAGACTGTTCAGGCAGCAGTAAATAGCCACAGTGTTTAAAGAACAAGGCCCTAAATAAACCTCAAATGTGAATCATGAGCCCCTTAACGTTGTTTTTGCTGTTGTTGTTTTTCTCTATACTGGGGATGGAACCCAGAGGCGCTCTACCACTGAGCTGCATCCCCAGCCCTATTTTTTATTTTGAGACAGAGTCTTGTTAAGTTGCCCAGGCTGGCCTGGAATTTGCAATCCTCCTATCTCAGCCTCCTGAATAGCTTGGTTTGCAAGCATAAGCCACCGTATCTGACTTTTACACCCATTTCAATCTGTAAGCCCAAGTTTCTGTTTTTACCGATCTCACAGTTTGCTGTAAGGACTCGACAGATGATGTCGATGAGAGCTCAGAAGATGAGATCAAACTGAGCTGATCACCATAGCGACAGAGGAAAAACATCCCTGGGCCTTTAACCTATTACTCATTAACAGCATGATTTGAGCCAGACTGGTGGCACATGCCTGTAATCCTAGCACTCTGGGAGGCTGAGGCAGGAAGGATGGCAAATTCAAATCCAATCCTGAGCAACTTAGTTTATAGAAAAAGAAAAAGAGCTGGAGATGTAGCTCAGTACAAAGATCCAAGGTTCAATCTCCAGTACCACACACAAACACACAAATTTTTTAAAATTTATTTTTCAAGAGCTCAGGTCAGCCATTTTGCAGAATGTCCCTCAGTATGGACTTGATTGTTTTTGCAATAGAGATCACACTATGGGGGCCCGGGATTTAGCTCAGTGGTTTCACCACCTGCTGTGCAAGTGCAAGAACCTGAGTTTGATCCCGGTACCAAAAAAAAAAAAATCACACTATGGGAGGTGGAGGGAAGGTGGGGAAAAAAAAGAATTGAGATGTTATGTACCCATACCCTGCAATGAATGTACTGCAAACATGTACTAATGAAAATTTTACAAGTCATCTATGGGTCCCTCATAAAATGTATATAAAATCAAAAGAAAAAGATCATGTTAACAGCATACAGCGGTGGCATATGCCTGCAATCCCAGCACTCGAGGAGAGACAGGAGGATCATTGTGAGTTTGAGGCCAGCCTGGGTTACATAGTGAGATCCTGTCTCAAAAAAGCAAAGCAAAAACTAAAAGAAAAAATTCTATTCCAATGGTCTTTCACTCAATGGTTTTATCACCTGTTGATGATTCTTAACTGAATCTTTTTTTTCTTTTTTTTTTTTTGAGACAGGGTACCCCTGGCTTTATTGTTGATTCTTTTGTTTTTGGGACTGGGGATTGAACTTGGAGCCTCGTGCTTTCAATGCAAGAGCCAGAACCACTGAGCTAAATCCCTGGCCCGACCCTGGCTTTAAATTCACTCTGTGGTCCAGGCTGACCTCAAACTCTTGGTAATCTTCCTGCCTCAGCCTCCTGAGTGCTGGGATTATAAGCATGCGCCACCATGGCCAGCTAAATTGAAATTATTTATTTATTTTTAAAGCCAGGGATTTAGCCCAGTGGTTCTGCTGCCTGCCTTGCAAGCGCACGGTCTCGAGTTCAATCCCTGGTACCAAAAAAAAGAAAAAAAGAATCAGAATATTTATTTTTAAAGATTAGAGGGGTTTTGGGCATTTTAATAGATTTTACTTTATCCCATCCCCCCATTTATTATTTTTTGGGTTTTTTTTTTTTTTTGAGATAGGGTCTTGCTATGCAGCTCAAGTTGACCTCAAATTCAGGGTGATCCTCCTGCCTCAGTCTCCCGAGTGCTGTGATCACAGATGTGTGCCACCACACCTGGGTAAATTGAAATTACTTAAAACTTTTCATTGTCCGCACTAGAAAGGACTATATCCCATGTACAACTGTACCCAGCAAGTGTTTGGTACAGAACAAATTCTCTGTAAATTACGCAGCAATCATTCACACCATCTAAACACTTGATTTTTTTCTAGTATAGCATTTTTTTCCAGTACTCTACTGGGGATGAAACTTAGTACCCTGCACATGATAGGCAAGCACTCTGCTACTGAAATACACCCTAGCCTTAGCATAAACCTTTTTCACAGAGTTGACTTTGAGCTCAGGGGCCTAAAAACCTCAAATTACTGTTTGCTAGGTCTAAGACTTTGCTTGGTGTTAAGGTTCCAATATGGAGCTCCCTCTAGCGGGAGAATCGTGGAACTGCATGAGCAAAGGTAGGCTGGGAGGGGAAGAGCCTGGGTCTCTGCTCAGCTAGACCCTGTTGAGGAAGGTGCATCTCCTGCATGAGGTCAGAGACCCTGCCCCGGGCTCTGAACTCACGCCAGGAATATAGTTAACAGGGCTCCAGCACATGCATCACAAACTTAAAAATCCTCAACCACCTTTCAGCCACACAGCGCCATTTGGATTATTCCATTTTGGTTTCCTTACGTAAAATATGACTATACAACCTGCCTGAGCATAGCTGTGGAAATTGAGAAAAGTAATGCATAAAAATCCCAATTTCAGCCAGGCATAGTGATGCCTGCCTGTAATCCCAGCACGCGGGAGGCTGAGGCAGGAGGATCACTAGGAAGTCAAGGCCAGCCTGGACTACACAGTGTGACCCTATCTCAATAAATAAATAAATAAATAAATAAATAAATAAATAAATAATTTAAGTCACTTAGATCCCATATGATTCCACCCTATAGCCATTCTGGATGACTCTGCCCTGCAACCTCTCCAGGTGATCCCTGCTCCTTTTGTCATGCTTCAAAATCTCAAAATAGGGGCCGGGGATTTAGCTCAGTGGTTCTGCCGCATGCCTTGCAAACAGAAGGATCCAAGTTCGATCCCCTGTACCAAAAAAAAAAAAAAAAAATCTCAAAATAGGTCTTTCAAATGTAGAATGTGCTTGTGGCCAACCTCTTGTATCTATGCAGTGTCACCTCACCCTCCTCTGGACAGTCCAGGAGAGCTGTCTGCAGTGTGCGACCTCTCTTGTGCTACAGCACAGGGTCCAATAAAGGCCTTGCTGTTATTGTTTTTCCATCACTCTTACCTCAGTTAGATAACTGAACACTAAGTGGGGCTGGGGATTTAGCTCAGTGGTTCTGGTGCCTGCCTCATAAGCACAAGGTCCCGAGTTTGATGCCCGGTACCAAAAAAACAAAAACAAAAACTAAGTGTGTAGGGACCTTGAATGGCCAACCATGAAAAAGGAGAATGAAGTTGGAGCAAAATTACTTTCTGATTTCAAAATTTACAAGCTTATAGTAATCACAGCAGTATACAGCTGGTAAAAGGCCAGGAGAGGTGGTGCACACCTGTGCACTTGGGAGACTGAGGCAGGAGGATTGCCATGAGTTTCAGGTTAGCCTGAGCTAAGTAGTGATTCAAGGCCAACCTGAACTACACAGTGAGACCCTTTCTAAAAACAAAGGATAGACACATGGATCAGTGGAAGAGGTGAAAGTCAGCAGTAAACTCACATGACTATAGTCAGCTGTAGTGTTGTTTTTTGTTTTGGTAACAGGGATCGAACTCAGGTCCTTGTGCTTGTGCAGCAGGCAGTGAAACCACTGAGCTAAATCCCCGGCCCCTACTGTAGTGTTTTGTTTTTTGGTACCAGGGATTCAACTCAGTATTCAACTTGCATTTGCGAGACAGGTGGTGGCACCACTGAGCTAAATCCCTGGCCTGCTGTAGTGTTTTTGACAAGCAGAGACCATCCATTGAAAAAAGACAATCCATTGTCTGTTCAACAAATGCTGCTCAGACAACTGGGTATCTACATGCAAAAGAAAAATGTGGACCCGTCCCTCTCACTACATATAAAAAGTAACTCAAAACAGTTAAAAAACCTAAATGTAAGTCTAGAACTATGTCTTAGAGGCTGGGATTTAGCTCAGTGGTGGCGCCACCAGCCTTGCAAGCACAAGGTCCTGAGTTCAATCCCCAGTACCAAAAAAAAGGTCTTAGAAACACAGAGCCAGGCATGGTGGCGACCATCTGTAATCCCAGTATTTGAGAGGCTAAAGCAGGAGGATAATCACGAGTTCAAGGCAAGCCTGGGTTACATAGTTGAGTTCAGGGCCAGCCTGGAATATATATTGAGACCCCGTCTAAAAAAAAAAAAAAGCAGACAGAAACATAAGTCTTCACGACTAAAGATAAGATAATGCTCTAAAAGACTGTCTATAAAAAAAAGATCCCAAGGCTCAAAGTTTGTCTGACTTGTTCAATCTCCGGGGAAAAAAAATTAACCTTTATGGTCACTGTATACTCAACTCCTTGGACATGTAAATGGCTAATGAAGAGATGCCTTCCTTTGGTGAAATATGGCTCCATCCCAACTAATGAACAAGTCAAACATTCTCCAAACGCTTAATCTCTGTAACATTCTTGTGGCAGAGTAAGAAGAGCAAAGGGTAATGGGCCAGAATTAAATTCAAATTAACACTGATTTCCTGGGCCAATTACTGAACCTCTATGAACTGCCAATTTACTTGTAAAATGGGGCTGTTAAAGGCTAGGGACACTGGTACACACCTGTAGTCCCAGCTGAGGCAAGATTGCTGAGCCCAGGCAGGGTTGGCCTGTCCTACCCAGCGAGACCTCCACCCACTGCCCTCACCAAGTTAAATGAAACTGCCTGGGATTCAAACAGTGTTGGGGTAAAAAGGAAACCAAGATTTTGTTTCTATGGAAAAACACTTTAATAATCTATCGGTGATGGCATTAAAGATAATTTTATTATACAAACTTCTAACCAATCTCTGTACTAAACATGCTGATGTTCAGAAAAAAATACTTTAAAAGGTCAAAGCACAAAAACTGTAGAAAAGAATATTTTATTGAAAGTTTCTCAATTAACAATGGAGCAAAGTACAATTTGATTTAAACCTGTCCATCCAGCTTCAACTGCTAATGAAAGAACTCCGGGGGCGGGGGGGGGGGCGGTTGGGCTCTTAGGTCTCTGCCAATGTGGCAAAAAAAAAAAAATGATACAGTAGGGGTGGGGACAAAAATGACTGACAACCAGGTTTGCCTTGTCAGCCCCAGCTGCTACTACAGACAAAATACTGGAGGACAGGCTCCCTAGGCCGTGGCATAGTGGGTAAGGAACCCCCCAGTTCTAGCAGAGCAATGCATACAAGGACTGCCAGCCCTGAACCTCTTCCTGTACCCCAAAGCCAGCCTATGGCATTTTTACATTCACACCATGGTCTCTCCATCCCCCAGGGATCTTGGGATGGGGGCTCACAGTAGAAAGCACATTTTGGTCAGCACAGGGGGACAAGGGGCAAGGGAAAAGCTCCGTCTGGGAGGGGGAGAACAGCAGGAGAGAGGGGACAGCTAATCACAGCTACCTGGAGTACCAGGCTACTGGGAAGGATGCTGAATGCCTGGAGGATGCTGGCACCCATGACAATCATTCTACTGGCTTTCTTGGGCCCAAGAGCCGACACGTTGGGGCTTCAGGGCTTTCACACGTCTCACTCCCTGGAGAGCTTGTCCCTGCCTACTCTGGTCACCAGAGGTCATATGCGCCATGGGAATACTTGAATTTTACTCCAGCCAGTCCACAGGGAAGGGTTTGGGTAAAGAAGAACCCAATGTGTGTCAGGAAGCCAAGGAATTGAATGAAAAGAGGAACCAGGTGGGAAGCAGGGGTGGGATTTAGGGAAAGAGAACATTCTGGAGGAAGAACAGAACACAGGTAGGCACTCGGAAACAAGACCTGGTGACGGAGGCACTGAAGACTTAGTCCAAAGCAGACACAGATTTTATGATGGAAGAGGAAAGGAGGGAAGGAAGGATGCTCTCCTGGGACCAGGACACTCTCGAACTACCAGGTCCCCATCAACCCCTGGCAGCCATTCTCTTACCTACCCAAGGCAAACAATTAAGACATATTCGTGATTTTTCCCAAATGCAGAGCCAGATGGGTAGAGGACCAAGGAGTAAGGGTGGCATGGAGGACCAGACAAATTCAGCTTTTAACCACAGGGCTATTCCAGAAGAAACTAATGAATGGCCCCCACCTACCCCTTCCCCACACTCCATTCCCAGATGAGACAGAAGGAACTCAAGCCCCGAGGGTGGGCCCACCACACCCCACCCCACCCCACCCCACCCCACCCCACCCCCACCCCGATGTATAATAAATAGAGGTGGTAGGAGAAGGGGCTGGAGATGAGTGGGGCGATGGGAGGTGGGGGTTATAGTTCATCATTCTTTAAAGGCCGCTTCTGTCCTGCCGGCTGCTCCTTCTGCTCAGCTTCTGTTAGGAGTTGGGTACAGCAGGTCAAACAGACATAAGTGGCCCCAGCTCTCTGTAGATAATTTCCCTCTAGGCCCAGCGGCTGCCCAGCATCCTCCACTCCAACCTCACCTGCTTCAGGACCTCCTAACTCCGGGGCCTCAGGGTCTGCTGGTTCAGATCCTGCATTTTGGAAGGAGTAGTTTAGTCTCTGCAGGTTTAAGGAGGGGTGGCAAACTATTTCTGTAGATAGCCAGCTAATAAGTATTTGGGGATGTGTAGGACACAGCAGGTCTATTTGCCTAATTAAAAAAAACTTTTTTTAAAGTAACGGTCATCCACAGCTCAAGAGCCATCTAGCAACAGGCCGTGCCTGCCGATGTGTGGACCCCCGCCAGCTGACACAATGTCCCCATTCCCAACCGCGGTTTCCCCAACTCACCAGTCTCTACTTTCTCGGGCTCTGCAATGGGCTTTGCATCTTCAGTCTGGCCTGGAGGGAAAGCAGGAGTAAGATGGCACCCCAGGAGGGAAAGGCGGCCTTCTCTCTGCCGGCTGGCACCTGCAGCCAGGCTCCCTGCCTCACCTGCTGGCGGGATGACGTCCTCCTGGTCACTTGCACTGGCATTGAGCGGAGGCTCTGACTGGGTACCATTCTTGTCCTTGGGCCGGGGCCGAGGTTTGGCAAACTTGGCCTTGTTGAGCAGATACTGCACCTCACGGTCCAGTGCCATCATCTTAGCCTCAATGTCTTTCGATAGCAGCACAGGCTTCTCTGTGGCAAGAAGCTTGGCCTGCTCAGCCACAGTTGCATTCTTCCAGGCCTGTGTGGGAGGCAGGACAAGCTCAGAGAGTGTCCTGGAGAAAGAAGGTATCTGTTCCAGATGAAATCGTGCCCCCAACCAGCCTCCAACTTTTCCCACAGCCCAGAGATCTCGGTCACGCTTGGCCATTGGCCCCATGGTGCCAGCTAAGTGTCCAGTCACATAATTGCAAAGTGATTACCCAAGTCTCATTGATGACTTTCTCTAATGTTGTCATCTCCACCTCAGTGAAGATCTGGTCCATCTCTGGGAGAAGCCGGGCACCCCTGGAAGCCGAGAGGAGATCAGCCCAGGAAGCAGAGGTGCCTGGGGTGGGAGGGCGGGGAGCTATATCTATGGCAGGAATGAACAGAGAAGGAAGGGCACAGGACCACGCACTTGAGGAATATGCTGGAATGGTTGAGGAGACTGTCAAGAGCAGACAACCGTTCAGGCCACTTCTTGCGCTCTTCTACCCGAAAAAACAGTCCTAGGCACAGCTTCCTCAGCTCAGCCAGCTTCTCCTTCAACATCTGATGGGCATGAGCAGAGGGGTTGAAGAGATGGTAAGAGAACCCTGAGGAGTTGGTCCTCCATCCATTTTGTTTGTGGTGCTGGGGACTGCTTTTTTTTTTTTTTTGAGACAGGGTCTTGCTATGCAGTTCAGGCTGGCCTTGAATTCACAACAACCCTCCTGCCTCAGCCTTCCAAGTGCTGGGATTATAGGCACACTCCTCCATACCTGCCTAGGTGCTGAGGATTGAACACAGGAATTCTCATGCTAGGTAACCTCTACCTTTGAACTACACCCCCACCCAGTCCATCCCCATTTTCTCCTGAGACAGTCTCACTATGTTGCAGAGCCTGGCCTCAACTTCTGGGCTCAACTGATCTTCCTGTCCCAGTTTCCTGAACAGCTGGGACTAAGGTCCACACTACTACACCTGGATGTGTCTTTTTTTTTTTTTTTTTTTTTTTGCAGTGCTAGGGACTGAACCCAGGGCCTTATGCATACTAGGTAAGCTCTCTACTACTGAGCTACACCCCAGGGCTGAAATATTTATGGTCTCACACCCCTGTTTTTCTCACTCTCTGACTCTGGATGAGGAGGGCGAGAGCTCCCATCCCATCTATCATGTCCTGGGAGGCTCCTCACCACAGTGTTGGCTGCAAAGCCCTCATCCTCTAGCCAGGTGGATGCAGCACCGAGTTTCCCAGCGATCTCTTCACGCTGTTCCTCTGTGGACACTTCCTGATACTCGGGCTGGTATAGCTTGTCCTAGGAAGGGACACAAACGCAGGCATGCAATAGGCCCAAGGGCAGGGCTCAGAGCACACACCCTCAAACCCAAGTCCCAGGGCCAGAAGGTGCTGCCCCAGCCTGCCAACCTGGGTTTCAAAGATAAAGGCTTCCAAGCTATTGGCAGCTTTCTCCCGTTCCTGTTTCTCTAGGTCTCGTAGGGTCAAGTCCTCAAGTCTGCAGGATGAGGGAGAGGGTGAGTTAGGACTCCTACCAGCCCTCCAAGGTGCGTTACACACACACGCACATGCACGTGCACAATTTCTACTTACTTCTGCACTGAATGAGCCAGCTCATCCTCTGGCAAGTCAGGCAGGTCCAGAACAACCAGCTCCACCCCAATCTCCTCCACCATTCTCTGCTTCCGGGCAAGCTTCTGCTTCTTTTCTTCCTCAGGGGCTGGAGGGGCACCTTCAGGCCCTGCCTCCCCCTTCTCACTGGGCTTCTGGGTGGGAAGAATTGAGACATCAGGAAGAGCCTTGGCTTCCTCCTAGGCCTCCATTCCCTCCTTCAGCTCCTGAGTCCACTGGTCTTCTCTGCCCATAGCTCACCTGGGCCTCAGACTTGTCCCCATTTTCTTTTTCGGTGGGCTTTTCCCCCTCAGCGGCTGTGTCTCCTTTGGGCTTAGTGGGTGGAGGCTGAGAGGTTCCCTCCACTGGGGCCTCAGCTTCCTCCTTGAGGTCTATCTGCTCCCCAGGCTCATCCTTGCCTCCCTCAGCGGGGCTCTCCTCTTCCTCCTGCAGAACAATCACAGGCCCCTTGGATGACAATCAGTAGCAGAGCTAGGGGCCAGCCCTCAGTCACAGCAGTTCCTCTGCTCTCAAGTTACTGCTCAGTACACAGCTTATGGGGAGCCACATGGCAACTGAGGGAAATGACTACCATGGGAAAGGCACAGGAAATGACAGCTCGAGCCCAGAGGTGTGTGTGGTGGGCATGGTTAATGCAGTGCAGGCCAAGGGAAGGACTGAGTCTCAGCAGCAGCAATGCCCACCTGACCTCTCCTCTGTTGCCACACCCTGCCCCATGCTGCTCTCCATATGCCCCTGGCTCCACCATGAGCTCACCTGAACAGTATCTGTCCCATTCTCTTTGGTGTCTGCTGTGGTACCACCACCAAACAGGCTGGAAATGGTGTTGCCAAGTTCTACAGGGAAAGAAGTGCACAGATTCAAAAGGGACCAAGCAGTAACTTCACCTTCTGACCCAAATGCAATGCCCTGTTCATCGCCCCAAAAGCACATGAGCATGTTCTCTCGAACACCCATGCCCACACACAGGTGCACATGCTCATCTTACTGGTCAGAGTAGACTCCTCCTCCAGGCTGTCTTCCACCAGGGTCTCAAATACAGACTCCACCTGAAAATGGGTTTGAAATGAAGGTGCACGCTTACCCCCATTTCTCCATAAACACTTAACATGATGAGGACCTTATATGCACTGTAAGACTTAACAACTATACTAACCCAGTCTCTCTCCTGCCTTTTGTTAAGGACTCCTGGATGGTCACTCCACCTACTGACTATAAGCCCTCTGAAGACAGGATCACAGCTCTTTTCCTCTTACCGCTGTCCACAAATCTACTCAGTAACACTATAAGCCATCATTTTCCAAGGTATATACTATAAGATATTAAATCCAGAACAAACGGGCTTCTCAACCATTCTGTAGTTCTCACTAACCCAATTACAGTGCCTATAAGCATTTATAGGACCCCAAAAGGCCCACAACTTCCTAGTTAGCTGTTAAAAAGACAAGAGTGACCAGATTCCCAAAACTTTTGTTTACACTGTGGAACCCACTTTGGGAAAGGCTGGCAGAGCCCAGGCCCTGGCCTCCATACAGGTCTCCTGCTGCTCTCACCCTGTCCAGGCTGAGCACACCACTCTCATCCAGATTGAAGTGTGCCTTGATGCCCTTGGACTCATAGTCAGGATACTTCTTGAAGCTGTCACCCACACCTTTTAGTTTCACTGTGGTCAAATTCTGAGAGCCAAATACACTGGATGGGAAAAAAGAGGAGTTTGAGGAAATCGACTCAGCCCACCCTCAACTGCAGACTACACAGCCTCCTGGCACAAGATGTCAGGGTTTCAACCAAGACCACACTTGAAGGATGGAAGCACTCTCCAGAGAGGCTCTCACCCCTTACCCTAAGCCCACAGCCTGCTTCCCACTCAGCCATGCAGGCTCCCTCCCCTCCCGCATCCTCAGGTCATCTGGTAGCTGTGCCTCCCCCTCCCGGAGCTCCCAGCCTGTCCCCCCGCCCCTCACCGAAGATCCTCAGGCCCCAGGAAGCCCAGGTCACCATAGTTGATGTGGAAGTTGAAATCATGGCTGTAGCGGTTAAAGGTGATGACTTTGCGTTGAGGGTAGGGCCCCATGCGGGAGAAGAGCACACGTTTATTGTGCTTCAGGTTTCGGACCCCAGGCTCCTCCTCTACCTCCCTTGTGAATTCCACCTACATGGCAGGTAGGGAGAGAGCACACTGGAAAACCAGCATGGGTTCCAGGGTGGGGATGCAGCAGAAAGACAAAGGGACAGGCTGGAGCGGGCAGAAAGCAATACAGCACTTGAAAAGGCTGAGGGAGGGCCGGGGATTTAGCTCAGTGGTTCTGCCGCCCGCCTTGCAAGCGCAAGGACCCGAGTTCGATCCCCAGTACCCAAAAAAAAAAAAAAAAAAAAAGGCTGAGGGAATTTATCACTGGGCAGACAGGCTTACTCACCAGGATGGGATAGACCACTGCATCTCGGATGACAAATGGCTTCACCTTGAACGCTTTGCTGAGGGCAGCTGCCTGGTACACCGCCCCCATGGCGGCTGCTTCATCTGCATTGATGTTCTTTCCCAATTCCTCCCTATGAGAGTCCCAAGCATCAGTCCCATCCACCCAAGAGCACCCAGCCTGGACTCCTTCCCAAGCCTTCTAGCTGCCCAGCCCTACAGCCCTCCCCTGGGCAGACACAGGACCCGTATCCCAGCACCCACACTCACTTGCCCACTGCCTTCAGCAGCACCTCCTGAACTTTGGGGACACGAGTGGCCCCACCCACCAGGATCACTTGCTCGATCTCATCCTGCAGAGGGAGAAGACAGGTGAGACTCAAGCAGGTAACACCCTTCCTCAGCATGAGCCCTTCCCCTTGACACCTATGTGTGTCCTGCTGCATTCCCCACTGGGCACGGCTGCCACACCCTGCGCCCTCACCAAACTCATTTCCGAACTCTGGAGGGCCTGATGGACAGGCCCAGGCACCCGCTCAAACAAGTCTGCACATAACTCCTCAAATTCTGCTCGAGTCACTTTTGCCTTGAAGTCCATGTCATCCATCAGGCCTTCGATCTGGGGGACGATAAAGATGAGGAGTGTTGGGGGGCTTCTGGCAAGGTCCTGCTCTGTGGAACAAGACTGGGAGGATGGCAGAGCCCCTCTGAGCTTGGGAGTGGAGAGTTTGCCCTCCATCAGCCTCGTGTGGGTACCTGGGCCATGTGGTCAGCATTGGCACTCAGGACAGTTTTGAGCCGATTGGCCTCCCGCAGCAACTTGGCCATGGCACGTGGGTTCTCTCGCACATCCTTGGCTCTTTGGCCCTTTCGATGCTCATTGAAAAGCCCAGCTAGGTGTTCCCGCAGCCGGAGCTCCATCTCCAGGCCCCCCAGGGTGCGGTCAAACCTGTTCAGGGAAGGGAGCAGGGAGAGTAGGAACAGGGTTTCTCCACTGGCATGGCACCCTGCCTTTCTTTCAAGGACCCTGTTCATCCCCGGTGCCCAGAGTATAGACACACACTCCGTTCTCAACTCTCCACAGCGTGTGACACCTCACAGGGACAATTCATCCACCCGCTCATTCAATAGTAATTTCTGAGCAACCACAATGGATGCACTTTTCTCTTAAAGGAGAAACAGAGGTCCTAGAACACACAAGGACAGCTGTGCTCTTCAGGGAGGGCTGGGAAAGTAGTGCTGGGACTGAAACCTGAGGGATGAGTGGGAGTGAATTAGGGGAAGAGGAGAAGGAAGAATGTTCTAGAAAGAAACTTTACAGCATCTGTAAAGTCCCTAAGGCAGAAAAGAGCATGGCAAACTGCAAAGGAGGGCAAGTGTGCGAGGGGTCAAAGATCAAGAGGAGTGAAATAGAGGTTATAAACAGCTACAGGAGGCAGAACCCAGACCAGCACAGGGAAAGCTTTAAAGAAAAGGTTACAGGGCCAGGGATTTAGCTCGGTGGTTCCACCACATGCCTCACAAGGGCAAGGTCCCAAGTTCGATGCCCGATACCAAAAAAAAAAAAAGGGTTACAATCCAATCAGCATTTTATTTTTTAATTTTTTTGTGTGGTGCCGGAGACTGAACCCAGGGCTTTACATCTGCTAAGAAACCACTCTACCACAGAGCTACATCCCCAGCCCATAGATTAGCATTTTAAAGAGAACCTTCAAGATAAACATGGTGGTACAGGCCTATAATCCCAGCACTCTGGGAGGCTGAGGCAGGAGTATCACTGC